ACTGAGCAGAATCTGCTCCAACACTGCATGAGGACTGAGGATGGAGTGTGTGAGCTGCCGAGTGTTGTGTTGGAGTAGCAGTAACAGACCTGAGAGAAGGGCTACCCGACGGTGCAGGGTAGAGACGGCCTCCGGAGCGTCTGAGCACAGCCTCCTTCAGGATCCTACGTCGGGAAGCGGAGGTTTTTGACCGGGATGACGGCCGCCGATCAGGCCCAGCGGCAGACCGGCAGCCCAGCCGATCACCGTTTGCCGCCAGTGCGGGAGATGTTGCCGGTGGAGGAGATGCAACAGTGTCGGCCGGCACTGTCCGCCGAAAGGTATCTGTATCAGGGAGACTCGAAGCCGCAGGTGCATCCGCTGGATGGACCGGAGTGTCGTTAGACAGGGCTGCATAGCGGTTGGAGAGGCCGATGTGCGGAGGAGAGGCACTCTCTTGCAGCCACGGACCACAACTTCAGCCCAGGTTGACTTAGGAGTCGAGCAGGAGGAAAGCCTTGGAAGGGTAGAGGGATCCCATAGCACGGTGTCCTGGATGTTAGCGGTTGCACTAAGAGAAATAATCTGTTTGGCTTCTACTGAAGCCACATCCCTAAAGCCAGTCAGCAGGGAATCTTTCTCTTTGAGTTCCTCTGAAAGTCGTCATATGTCTTCCATAAGGTCAGCAATCTTTTTGTTCGCTTTCTTAAGGAGTGTGCAATCCTAATGGGGCAGAGTTATCTCGGCTATCATAGTCACCGGAGCTTTGTTGTTGATGGCGTTTTTACGGTCATCTAGCTTAAAATCCATGTCGGATGACTAAAATCCTTAACCCACGTAAAACTTAAGTTAAAAACTTAGGTTAAATAAAAAGGATATTAAAAAATGTAACGTAGAAGTGTGGATTAAAACTGGATAAGGGTACGGTTTAAAACGGAGCTTCCGACAGGTAGCTACAGACGCCAATGCATGCGCAGAGTACAGTCATGTGCCATGAGGTTACAGGTTCCAAGCTTTGTAACATTACTGGTACTCGTTGAGAAAGCAGTCCGAAGTTAAATGGTTAATGCAAACATATAACTTGAGCTGCCCATAGAACTGCCCAGGTCGGTTGGTAGAACTTGTAACATTGTAACTGGACGAGGGAGTGATGTCCTAACTAAAGACCCGCCTTGATAAGAGGACTTAGATTGCATTTTCATCTTCACGTTGACCCCAAAAGAGCGTGCTGACATGTAATTGTAAATGCAATAGACTTGGGGCGCTGTTTCACTTACATTTGAATATTGTCCACTGTAGCGCAGGTTAAGTCTTTTAATTTTGACTTAAATATTGCTTGCATAAATGGAAATTGAAATAACATTTGAATATTGTCCACTGTAGAGAAGGGTACAACTTTGACAATGAACAGTCTCAGAACACTCACCCTAGCCACTTTGGTTCCCTGGTGATTTTAGTAGTAGCATACAGTATTGTTGGCTTGCGCTTGAGTGCAGGGAACTGAATTCAGGTTATATGCTACAGTTTGTTGTGACTCAACCAGATGGATAGGTGAAACAAATAAAAATTATGCCATAGTCTTATTATTATTTTCTTTCTCTCTTTTTTCTGGTTATTATTTCTATAATATTTATTATTATTTTCTTTTTTATGTAATCACATTTTTGCCCTGAAAAAGAAAAAGAGCAGAATTTATATAACAAAGAGAGACAAAGAAAACTGGATTAAAAAAGTGCCTTATTGCATACAAACACATAGAAACACACACACCTGCCTTTTTCCCACATTTGTTTTCTAACTCTTCTTGTCCATCTAGCTGTCTACACCAGCAACAGACCCAGCATTTTAAAGCAGTGTTTTTACCTGCAGCACTAATAACAAAGATTATCTGTCTTGAGAAGCACTCAGGTTTCTTAAATATTAGGGCCTAGAGAAAATGGCACCCTTGCCTTTACCAAAGAAATCAATTAAGGCTTTCTTGTGCCCTGCATGCATTGATGAGCCAGCCAGCCTAATACTCCCAAAAGGATCCACACCTTTTATTTAAGTGTGCAAGTCAGGCAAAATCATGTAATTGCTGCCATTGCAGCTGCTCTTTTGATTTCAATCATTCAAAAGGTTATTTGAAGGAAAAAGAGCACAAATGGTAAATTGGAGATTGGGTGATAAGGTGAAAGACTTGAAGTTTGGTTTGGTTGCTGGCTGCTATGGTGTGACTACATAATACTTCTCTTTCCCAGGTGATATAGTGTATTTCTAGATGTGTGAAAAAGCCTGATAAACTAATGTATTATTAATTTGGCTTGCATTTTATTGTTACGCAGTGCATAGTGACAAAAATAATCTCACTCTGAAGTCAGCACCTTTTACAGCCATAGACTGAATAAAACATGGACGTAATGTCACAATGTGGGCGGTTCCCAGCGGCTCTGGTCGTTGCCATCTGGCCAATCCAAAAATGGGTAAAGAGGTCGAGGGGCTTCTTTCCCCTCTGCTCTTCTCCCTGTACACCAACAGCTGCACCTCCAGTTACCAGTCCGTCAATCTCTTGAGTTTGCAGATTGATCATCTTGTGACCTGGTGCAGCCAGAACAGTCTGGAGCTCAACGTTCTGAAGACAGTGGAGATGATCGTAGATTTTAGTAAGAGCCCAGCCCCACTCTCTCCCATCATCCTGCGTGACTCCCCAGTCGCCACTGTGGAGTTCTTACACTTCCTGGGCACCATCATCTCCCGGGACCTCACCAAGACAAACATCACCTCCCTCACCCAGAAGTTCAGCCTGCCAAAGACAATGATGGTACACTTCTACACTGCCATCATCGAGTCCATCCTCACCTCCTCCATAACCTTCTGGTACGCTTCTGCCACCGCCACGGACAAGGGCATGGTTCCGGCGTATCATTCGGTCTGCAGAGAATGTGATTGGTTGTCACCTTCCATCTCTTCAGGACTTGTACACCTCCAGGACTCTGGCGTGCAGGAAAGATTGTGGCTGACCCCTCCCACCCTGGACACAAACTTTTTCATACACTCCCCTCTGGCAAGAGGCTGAGGTCCATCAGGACTAAAACCTCTCGCCACAAGAGCAGTTTCTTTCCGATTGCAGTGGGCTTCCTCAACAAGGCCCGGGTCCCCACTGTCACTGACTCTCATGCCCTCCTTCCCCAAACACACACACACACTCCTGACCCCACACTTTACACTAACGCTCAACTGTGCTTCATGCTCATGTTGTGAATTTTTGCACATACTTGTCAGCATTGTATTATAGTATTGTTGTAATTTTTGTATACTTGTAAAATTTTTGATCTCCTTACTTTTTATATATTCATATTTCTTTATTCCTCGTATGTGAAAATGTACCTGGCAATAAACCTGATTCTTATTCTGATTCTGATGCAGGCATGTTCCAACATTTGCAAGTTTGCAACATACCTTTTCTTTCACACTGTCATGTCTGTCCCTCTAAGTGGTGAATTTCAGTTATGGTCATATTTTACACGGAAGTACATATAGTGAGAAAGGAAACCTCAAGTGCGTGTAATAGTGACCACACACACACACACACACACACATACACACGCACACCATGAGACTGATCAAGATGTGTTCCTCTTACTAGTGTGAGTCTCAAGTTAAGTTCACTGTGGTTCTACAGTTGAGTTACAGCAGATGAGCATCTGCTACAGGGCATCTTGCATGTACTTTGTTTTTTGCTTGTGCACTTTTTATCATCTCCTCTCTTCAAAGGCTGATAATATCACTTCCACCAATGTATCAATTTTGTAAAAACTCTTGTGGTTTTTGTTTAACTTGGTGTGAACTCGAAGGCAGAACTCAGACCATGAACAGGCAATTAGGTAGAACAGAATATGGGCAGAAACACAGACCTTCTAACTTTGGTGCTCCCATAACTTTTTATATATTGATCATATATATCTGTACAAATGTAATACTTTACTGTACTCTAGAGCACTCTTGATAACTCAAAATCTTCAGAATTAGTTCTTCCTTTCCTCAGTTCTGTTTCTGAATTCAGTGTGTGCAACTCCATTGCCAACGTCATCTGTGAGAACATGAGTTTCCTTATGACTTCTCTTTAGTCAATGATGCAATAATGTGCACTCAAATTAAGTAATTCAGATATCTAAAGAAAGTTAAAGTAGGATGTTCTTTGCCTCCGAACATTTTGACTTCTTAAAATATGTATTTGTTTCATATAAATATATATATAATATAATTTTATAATAATATAATTTATTTATTGCTACTGTTTGTGTAGGTCAGTGAATTTAGGCCTCCACAAAATGCAATAATTGGTCATTTACATTATCTGAAGACATACAACACTGTGCACACATAATAATAATAATAATAATCTTTATTTGTATAGCACCATTCAAAAGTTTGCAACTCAACGTGCTTTACAGTTAACAACATTTGAAGAACAAAGGATGACAGGAACAAATAAAATTAAACAAAAGAAATAAGAAACAACAGAAACAATATCATAAAATACATATAGCTATAAAAACACAAGATTTTATTAGGCTAAACAGTGTGGTTAAGTGAAAGTAGTCAGACATAGGCACATGAAAAGGGAAGTGTTTTTAACCTGGATTTAAAAATAGCAGTATTTGTGGCATGTCTAAGATCCTCTGGTAATTTATTCCAAATGTGTACAGCATAAGTGCTAAACGCTGCTTCTCCACATGCCATATGAAACCTAAAATAACATAATCATAGTCATTTTTCCAACCAGTAATAACACTGACATTGCTTGATTGGCATGATTGTCAGTTGTGTCAATAGATTGTGTTTATATACTACAATTTACAGAAATGACCCCTTGAACAGAAATAATCTGAAACACTTACAAAATGAATTAAGTACAACTTTGTGTGATAGACAGCGTATACTGCCTTTTGTCTCATGAGGTCCATCTTGACATTTCACTTTACATATGCTTGAAGTTTTAGTTTCTCTTCCATGACTTTAAACTCCCACACAACACTTCACACTCTTTTCACTAGAACACACACACACACACACACACACGCCGTATTTAACCTCGTGTGGCTTCCTGTTCAACATTTTCCACCACCTGCATTGCATGAAGCAACAATCTTCGTTATAACTGATCTTAAAAGCTGTGATTCGCATGAAGGGAGATTTATCGTGGTTTCTGTTTTTAGATTAAGCCGCCGGCACAAAACATGGTTAATGACACCATGAACACGACGTACGCTGTGGTGTTTGGATCTGTTATGGCACTGGGTCTGCCTCTCAATGCCGTGTCGCTGTGGATATTGTTACGCTGCCACAGTATTAAATCGCCCAGTGCAGTCTTCATGGTCAACCTGGCAATCTCAGACCTGCTGCTCGTCATCTCCTTGCCTATGAGGATCTACTTTTACGCCACAAGCAGCTGGCCTCTAAGCAATATGGCGTGCATCTGGATTACAATGCTCTTTCGCAACAACATCCGCTCCAGCTCCATCTTCATCACCTTCATCAGCGTGGACCGACTGCTGGCCGTGGTTTATCCTCTGAGGTCACGGCATCTTCGAATCTCTTCCAACGCGTGGAAAGCTGCTGCACTCATTTGGCTGTTTGTGTTGGTGGTGAACATCCCAGAGAGTGTATACTTTTCAAAATTTTTAAACAACAACACTGAACACTCCTGTTTTGAATTTAAAGAACGGAGGAAATCATATATGTCTTATTTTCAGTCTGTGCTAGTGCTCACCATGCTGGCAGTCAACATTGTGTGCACCGCTTTGGTGTCTTGGACTCTACACCGACATCTGAATGACTCCGCAAAGGTTAAGAACAAGGTGAATGTCATGCTTATTTTTGTCACGAACTTGATGATGTTTACCATATTTTTCTTGCCTCTGTCATTGTTGATTTTCTTTGAAACATGGAAAACTTCTCCCACGCCACTGATATGTCTTGCTAGTGTGAACTGCTGTCTGGATCCTCTGTTGTATTACTTTTCTTTTGATGGTTTCTGGAAGAGAAAAGAGGATGTGGATACCTCTCTTGCAAGAGAATAGTTGGTGATAACAATACATAGGGACATGTGGCACTGAATACTGTTTAAACAGATAATGCATTATTGTGTGTTGTGTGCGACATAAAGGGGAAAAGTTTATTATTGTACAATTTTCATCAAGTCTTTCACAAATGTTTTTATAAACATTTTGAGTACAAAAAAAAGGTTTTAATAGAGTTCTGCTGGGTTATCTGAAACAGAGATATAGATTACCATCACATTCAGTGTTTGTTTTTTTCTCTGCATGTGTTACACATATCTCGTGTTTTTCATATCTGTGAACAGCTACAGCTATGCAAGTGAAGCTACATTTTTTTACTTCCCCATCTGAGCTGCAAAAATCTGAAAAAAACAAACAAAAAAAATGGATCCCCACCCATCTCTGCAACATGCCATGACTATAAATAAATCTTTCATGACTGGCCTGTGAGATCTGTGTTAGCTACATGAACTTTAAGCAACATTTATACCTATGCTATCATTATAAGCAATAATGAGAAAGGCAAATAGCCAAGCAAAGGTAATTTGGAGCTGCCTCAATTCAAGTGATGTAATCCTAAAAGTTAACACAAAATGCTACTACTATTGCTCAACATTTCTAACATATTGCAAATGATTTGCATCCAAAACACATTTAAAACAGGTTCAATTTAAAAAAAAACTTAACTTTCCCTACTGCCTTAAATTTGTTTTAACTTGAATAATTTCTTAAAAGTTGGCTCATGAGCTAAGTTTACTGCATATGTTTGATAAACATAAGATATGATGTTTAAATAACAGCTGTCACAAATGTTCATTCATAGTCACATTTTTTTTCCAATGAAATTCTCAGTTATGTTCAAGTTAAAGCTGTGGTTGTACATGTTGGGAGTAAATACTAACAATCATCAGTATAGTATTATAGTATTGTTTCTGTTACTATCAGAGGAAGCAACCACAATTAAACATGTATAAAAAGACAAAGCAAGTTTCTGTCATGTCTGTTATCTAACTGTTGTCTAACTTGCAAAACTGGACATTTTTCCTGATGAAGATCTAGTACCGAAAGGTTGTCTGTTTCCTTTAACATGTTTTCAGAAACACACACAAGACATTGTTGTTTTGGTTGTTTTCATAATAGGCAGCATATATGGAAACAATCTGAATATTTTATGGATATTTATATATAGTAGGGGGTATCAGAAAATGCTTATGGTAAACTCTCAGTTTAGGGATAAGACATAATGCCCCATCATCCTTGTTAGCTGTTCTTTTGATTGCTTTTAACATCATTTGGCACTTTCTCATGTGTCTTTGGTTATAAATCCTGGGATGCAACGGGGGCTTTTGTGCTTTTTGTCAGTGTCTCAGTTCAGGAGCCAGCAGCAATCAAGTCCTATAAGCTTTGCCAAATGGAGCAGCATCTATAGACGCCTGTAGCGAATTGATCCAAAAATGATCTAGATTTGAAGATGTACTGTCTGGAAGTGCACACTGGGGATTTGCTGTTGACATTTAGGACACTCTACATCAGGTAAGCTCGTAACTTGATTGGCTGGTCACGGAAACAAAACAGCATGAAATAACCTTGCCTTCAACACCCCCATAATCTTGCTTCTTAAGTAGGGCACCGATGGAACACAACGAAACTATAGAAACCACATTTACACAAGCGCCTATCCCCTGCAACTATTTTGATGCTCAAGTTCACATTTCACACAGCATCCCCCTTTGTGGTCTGAGATTTCACTCATAGGATCAAAAATCAGATCCCTTTAATGATGATAGTTATTTGCATGAATTAAATGTTGTGCCTTCTAAGTAAAGCCAGGTCATCTAGGGCTGCTCCTGGCCAGACCTTGCTTTATCATGACCCTTCATAAATTGGAGACCTGTGTGGAGGTGATTTCCTCCCTCCATATATGTTTAATGTGACCTTACCTGTGCTCTCTACTGGGGGAAGTTGAATGCTGAGAGGCTGAACACAAATACAGCCCCTAGTTTATATAGCCTCACCTCTGTGTTGATTTTTAGCCATAATGCACCGTGGTACTGCAGTCCTTGTTTGTTCAGTCTCGTCCTTACGCGGCTGAAGCCATAAAGTCAAATAAATTTTACCTTCTATTTCACCCCAACACTAAACAGCGTATATGATAATCTATATTCAGCGTGGAGCAAATTGTTTTTGTACATGGTTGAAATTGGCTAGATTTGTGTGCATTGTGGTTTAGAACGAAACTGCGTATGTGCAACTTTCCATCTGTGTGTTTGCGGTTTTGAACTAAACTGCATTCTTGCTGCTTTGTACCATGCGTATATGTTCAGATTTTATCTGTATGTATCTGAATAACCTTTTATTGAAATTTGTACGTATGTCTTCCTTGTTTGTGTGTGTATCAAGATCAAGCTCATGTTTGTTTAGAGCTCTCCATCTGTAAGTGAGTGGTATCCAAGATCTGGAGGTAGGGGAGGGTCTGATTGAGTGACTGTGTCTGCTGAGGCTGGTCATAGTCTGCTGACCCTTTAACCCCAAGCTAAAAACAAGAAATACACTCTATATTCTCTGTGTCTGTCTGCCTTCCTTCTCCTAGCACACACACACACACACACACACACACACACACACACACACACACACACACACACACACACACATTAACATTCACAAGTACAATACAAAAAAGAAGGAAAAAAAGCAGATTCAGGTAGGATTCAGGTCTGCAAGCATCGCTGCCAAGACCCACAATCAAGCCTGTTGTGCTGTAGCCAAGTCTGCCTTGGACCAGAGGAGGACTGCTATTCAAAGACAGCTGCAGCTTTGGTGGCTGTGGAGAGTCAGGCAGCACAAAGAGCCAAAAAACCAAGCAAAGAGAAAAAAGGGACAAAGACAAATGTTGAGCTACTGAATGGACAGAGGAAACACCAAAGAGCAGAGGAACAGCAATGATCTAGCATCAGAAGACTTGAGAGAACCCAAGGATCATTTGAACAGACAGAAATGTGCAGGAAGTGGCTGAGATCAAAGTCAGCCTAAGCGTGTGCAGTTTTTTTTTCAATATGAGACGAGGGTGCAGCAACACTTCACATTAAAACAACATCATTGAATCCCAATCACTGGACTGCAGCTTTGACTGAAATGTTTTGCTATTCATTTCTTTTACCTTTTAGATAAACAACAAAATATTTTCAACCAAAACTGCAGCATGTGATTTGGGTTCAACCTTTTCTAGACACAGTATCACCCGGATGACTGAACCTTCACATACATATTATAATGACCTTGAACTGTGTAAGAGTAGAGTTATACCAAAAGAGGGCAGAGGCACAGTGAATATCAGTGTCACAGGCCTAACTGCATGGAAGAGAAAACTAAAATCAGCTGAAATCTGTTTTGAGCAACAACAATACGTATTCCTACTTTCATCTGGGTGCTAAGCAAAATATTTTAATGTATATAATCAACCAAAAAGTCCAAAAAAGCAAGCATTTTTAATAGAACAAACCAGTGTGTTTGCAAGCTTTAGATCCTTTAATTCAAATCATTGATACTTGATACTGAATGGTATACAAATGTACATTTTTGGATGTATTTATTTATTTATTATTATTTATTCATGTTTTCATTAATGTCCTCAGAATGAAAATCAATGCCGTTAAAAGCTTATAGCTATATAATTCTAGTAAAAGTATTCATAATATCATTACTTTGCAGAATGATTAGCTGTATTGTAACGCGAATTGTAATAAATGAGCTTTATATTGCAAAACCACTGGTGTGGTCCCTTAATGTTTCAATGGAAAACAAGGTTGAGAAAAGCCAAAGCCAAATCATTTCAATTTTCATTGTCTGACTGAAGAGGAACTAATATTTATTTTTATAGTTTTCGGTAATGGGATTGAGAGACATGCAAGGCTTTGAGCAGATGACAACTTCTGGCCCAGTTCCTGCCACTGAGGCAAGGCAAAATGGGGCCAGAAGGCACTCTCACAGTTTCAGACCTCTGCATGATGTAGGCGGCATCAAAGCGGCATCACCGACACTTCCTCTGAAAGAGCCGAGGGGAAACGCCGAGGGGGATGATGGTCTATCTCTTTGCCTTCCTCTACCACCTCTCATCCCTCCTTTCCCCTGCATGCCCTCCTTGTACTCCCCTCCTCCTCCGGGCCAGCTGTCAGTGGGAGTGTGGAGGCACTGCACTCTGTCACACACACTAACTGGAGAGCGAGGGCAGAGAGAGGTGGATAGAGAAATCTGAATTTGGTGTTCAGCAGAGTGATTAGGCCATGTATAGAGCTGAGGAAGAGATAGAGGCATCGGGAGAAACAAAGGGAGATACGGTATGAAAGAGGGAAGCAGCATTGGATAGGAAAGAGACAAGAACAGCAGGAACATTCTATGTGGCTTGGACCTGCTCTGCAATCTGCAAGTTTAAATGTGTTCCTTGGAAAGCCGAATATTTGAATATATTTAATATTTAAATGTAAATGTCTAAACACATTTCCCCCCAAGCTAATGTTCAAACATTCAAGTGGACCTTGGTATAAGAAAAATGCACATATAAAACATGCACTTTTCTCGATGATTATGTACGAAACAACGGCACAATGGGCCGTTGGTTTCAGCAATGAAGAAGATGGCTTTTCTATTCTCTCTATGTGTTCAGTAAATGATCAAATTAAGATGCATGGGTGTGCTTTTCTATCTGTTACACTTGCTGTGCACAGAGGGATATCCACCCAGACCTGCTTTGCTGAAAAACTGTATGTCTCTGTGCAACAGCATTTTTGGGTCTGTATTACCTGGCTGAAAGATAAAGGTGGAAAATTGATTTCTGTGTATATCATATTCCTTTCTCTCAACCATATGGTGTACACAACAGTGTAGACAAGAACATGGAGATTATATTGTGTTAGGCATTGTTATTTTGTGAAAAGAATGCATGGAAATTGTATGTGAAAACACACTGGTATTCATAGCTACTTGCATTATCAAGTATACAGTATTCTAGGTTCAGTGTTACTTTGAAATCTCAGAAAATTGTCTCAAATATGACATACATTCTGTTATTATTGCCTGAAAGTTTGCTTGGTGACAAAAGCACTGTGTGAAATGTCACCCAGTTGCACTGAGGGTGATTCATTAGCACCACGGTGCTTGGCAGCAGTGCATCATAAATGGATGTGGAATGAGCCCAGGGCAGCCTCAAGATTTTACTCAAATAACAAAAATATATACAAACTATTACATCTACTTCATTACAGTGCAATGAATTCATAACCACACTTTCATCTCAAAGTTTCATAGAATTTCAGCACACTGTGATTGCTCATGTCGTGTTGTGAGCACACACGGCGTGATGTGACATTATTAGGTTGTCAGTAGTTTGGACAACCTTAAAGCGCCCACGTGGCTCGGCACCAAAGGGTGCTAACTTATCTGCAGGCAGCAGGAAAGGTCTTACTTAAATCTTTGTTGATGCTTTACTTGTTCTGGGAGGGGCAAACTCTGACAGCTCTCACAACACATTATATATTTATTACACTACAATGTAGTCATCAATTTTAATACCCTCATCTTCTCCTCATTATATCCATCATAATGTAACAACCTACACAGCAAATAGCTGCCAATAATGTATGTCACTAATATATCCCAAAAGTGAAATACTTACAGGAGACAAATAGAATTGCACATTGAACTACTCAGGTTAGATTGCCAAATACACCCAGTAAGAGAAAAACTTTTGTTTTTTATTCCCCCGGGACTCTGAGCAGACAGATGGACACAGTGTGATATCACATTAGCATTATAGTTCGCAATTCGCTATTCCCAGGGTGGTGGATATGGTAGCCTAGTGGGCATAATGTGTGTCAATAATGAAAAAGCATCAAAAACCTAGAGAGCAGAAACTGGAATCTAACAAAATTGGCTATTTGTAGCAGGTTGTAATTTTCAAAATAGCCTTGATGAAAAAAATGAAAGT